CAGCATAGCGATTTGCGAAACTGTCACCACTGTCGAGGGCTGCTGGTGGGCCCAGCGGAATAGGCACCGCGCAGATCTGCGTGAGACCTCGCCGTCCCTGGGGGGTTGCTACCTGCGAAACCGTCGCCACGTTCGAGGGCTGCTGGTGGGTCCAGCGGAGTGGGGCACCTCGCAGATCTGAGCGGGACCTCGCCGTCCTTGGGGGGCTGCGCTCTGCGACATTGTCGCCAGTTTCGAGGTCTGTTGGTGGGTCCAGCGGAGCGAGGCACCGCGCAGATCTGAGCGGGAACTCGCCGTCCCTGGGGGGTTGCGATCCTCACGAATGCCGCTCGCAGAAGTATAGTCGCCCATGTCTCGTCATCACCTCCGTATAACGTCTGCCGAGCCACTCATGCCCCGCATTGCGCAGGGGTTGGGTACGTCGCAAGTGTAATTCCCAACCATCCTGTGGTGGTGGGTCTTCGGTTTGAAGAGACAGTCCCCGCATTCTTCCTCCTCATCCTCCTCCTCTCCTGTCCTCTCCTCTCCTCTCCTCTCCTCCTTCCCATCCTCCCTCCCGTCACCCTCATCACTTTGGCATGCACCTCACCCGCTTCGTGGCCCCATAGGGAGCTCCACCGAAGGTCCCAGTGGCGCAGCCCGCATGCGTCTCCCCCGCCCAGTACAGCATTTCGTGGCCCCATGGGAAGCTCCACTGACGGTCCCAGTGGCGCATCCCGCATGTGTCTCCCACGCCCAGTGCGGCGTTTCTTGGCCCCACAGGGAGCTCCACTGAAGGTCCCAGTTGCGCAGCCCGCATGCGCCTCCCCCACCCAGAACAGCGCTTCGTGGCTCCATAGGGAGCTCCACCGAAGATCCCAGAGGCGCAGCCCGCATGCGTTTCCCACGCCCGCTACAGCGCTTCGTGGCCCCATAGGGGGCTCCACCGAAGGTTCCAATGGCGCAGCCCGCATGCGTTTCCCCCGCCGAGAGCAGCGTTTCGTGGCCCCATAGGGAGCTCCACAGAAGGTTCCAATGGCGCAGCCCGCATGCGTTTCCCACAACCAGTGCAGCGCTTTGTGGTCCCACGGAGAGTTCCACCGCAGGTCCCAGTAACGCAGCCCGCATGCGTCTCCCCCACCTGGTACAGCGTTTCGTGTTCCTATGGGGAGCTCCACCGGAGGTCCCAGTGGCGCAGCCCGCATGCGTCTCCCACACCCAGCACAGCGCTTCGTAACCCCATAAGGAGCTCCAACGAAGGTCCTGGTGGTGCAGCCCGCATGCGTCTCCAACACACCGTACAGCGTTTCGTGGCCCCACAGGGAGCTCCACCGAAACTTCCCGTTGCGCAGCCCGCATGCGTCTCCCACGCCCAGCACAGCGCTTCGTGGCCCCATGGGAAGCTCCACCGAAAGTTCCAGTGTCGTAGCCCGCATGCGTCTCCCCACCCAGAACAGCGCTTCCTGGCCCCATAGGGAGCCCCACCGAAGGCCCCAGTGGCGCAGCCCGCATGCGTCTGCCCCGCCCAGTACAGCGCTTCGTGGCTCCATAGCGAGCTCCACCGAAGGTCCCAGGGGTGCGGCCCGCATGCGCTTCCCCCGCCGGGAGCAGCGCTTCGTGGCCCCATAAAAACTTCACCGACGGCTCTAGGGGCGCAGCCTTCATGCGCCTCCCCCCCACCCAGCACAGCGCATCTCCCCCACCCACCACAGCGTTTCGTGGTCCCGTAGGGAGCTTCACCGGCGGTTCCAGTGTCGCAGTCCGCATGTGTCCCCCCCACCCAGTACAGCGGTTCGTGGACCCACAGGGAGCTCCAGCCCGCACGCGTTCCATCCAGAACAGCGTTTCGTGGCCCCTGGGGAGCTCCGCCGAAGGTCCCAGTTTCGCAGCCCGCATGCGCTTCCCCAGCCCATACCATCGCTTCGTGGCCCCATAGGGAGCTTCACCAAATGTCACACTGGCGCAGCCCGCGTGCGCTTTCCCCGCCCAAGGCAGTGTTTCGTGGCCCCACAGGGAGCTCCACCGAAGGTCCCAGTGGCACAGCCCGCATGCGTCTCCCCCACCCAGCGCAGCGCTTTGTTGCCCCATAGTGAACTCCACCGAAGGTTCCAGTGGCGCAGCCCGCATGCATCTCCCCCACTCAGTACAGCGCCTCGTGGCCCCATAGGAAGCTCCACCGAAGGCTCCAGAGGCGCTGCCCGCATGCGCCCCCCCCACCCAGAACAGCGGTCCGTAGGGAGCTCCCCCAAAGGTCCCCCCAAGCTCCCCGCCCAGTACACCGTTTCGTGGCCCCAGAGGGAGTTCCACCGACGGTCCCATTGGCGCAGCCCGCATGCGCCTCCCCCGCCGAGTGCAGTGATACGTGGCCTTATCGGGAGCTCCACCGAAGGTCCCAATGTCGCAGCCCGCATGCGTGTCTCTCGTTCGGGAAAGCGTTTCGTGGCCCTACAAGTGGGCATCACCGAAGACGATATATACACCTGCGGTATTCACAACTGCATATGGTTGTGTTTTTTCGCCAGGCTTATGATTTGTGTTGTTTTGCCACCCCGGAGAAGTCAATATTGTTTCGGGGCGTTCCAGCCAGCGCCCTGGCGACCCAGGGTGCTTCCCAGAGGGTCCGAAAATGGTAGAAGACCTTTCTGGACCGCCCAGGGGCCCGCCAACAATCCTACATCAGCTTTCGGCGGCCGGGAAGGGGCACCCCAAGCCCGAAGAGGCCTCAAACAAGCTCCCAGGAGGCACCGTAGCATGTTCCCAGTGGTCAGACAATGGTTTGCTGTGCGCGTTTCGGGTTGTCTCACAGTGATCAGCCTTGATGCATCATCGGGCACATCCGAGAGGCGTTTTTGTTTTGTAAGCTGGCTCATACGTACAGCCCTTCACGAGAATCGAACATCAGTGAAGAAATGTATGTTAGCAAGCCTTACTCGGATTCCTGGGGGGCGCACACGAATCCCCCCTGGGATGATCTCCATCGTATCAATTCTCAGTCACGCGCTGTACGCTTGGTTGTTTTTGATCTTCTTTATTTCCCGCTCTCTCTCTCTCTCTTTTCGTGCGGCCGTCCGTCTGTATGTTGGCACCCCTGGGGTGGGTTCCCTCGGGCGCCGATAATGGCAGGATTTTCCCGTCACTTTGAAATATGCATTCGAACGTCGCACTTGATTCACTTGGCCTAGGTGATGCATCCAGTGCCTTATAGGCACTCTTGCGCGTCGCTCTGGGATGGGCTCCCTCACGCGGTGCCTTTCACAGCTGCTTTTCTGTGCAGGCTTGCATGCTATGTCCTCAATGATGCTATGGGCTGTCACTCGCCATTTTGCTTGTTGCGCTTCTGGGATGGGATCCGTTAACCGCTGAGCTCTGCAAGTGACTCTCTGATTTTCTATCACAAACCATGGACAAACGCAGAAAAAAGGAAATCAGAGTTCTGAGCATGTAGGGCCCTCGCGCACGTTCGACATACACTTAACCCGCATTGTAAGGACGAGCAGCTTCCCAATGCTACCCTTGCATCATTCCATTCGGCCCATCCTTGGCCGCTTTCGCATTCTGCGCCCCGCCCGCCAAGGTCGCAGTAGCCTTCCAGGGCCCTTGCATCCTTACATCGTATCATTATCATACGGTTTGACTGCACGTCCCCAAGAGCCTGACACAACCGAACCTTACACCAATATGCCCCAAGGGAGGCGCCCGGAGGCAGCCTGCTGGGGATTTCCGCGACGTTTGGCACGTTGCTGCTCCAGAGAACCTCCAAACACATACGGCGAAGATGCTGAACCTGAGGACCGCTCTTGGGTCGCGAGGGGTTCGCTGCTCCTAGGACCGTCTCGTGATTGTTCCTCTCGCCCTCCTCGTGCACCAAGGCGCCTTTTTGGCCACAGCTGGGTTTCGTTCCTTCTTTATCGCTCCTCCTGGCAGGGCCGTGAGTGTACATACCCTCGCGGCGCGTTTTGGACGGCGCTCGCCTGGCCTCGCCAGCGCCGCGGCAGAGGAGCCGACGGGAGCACCGGCCCACCGCCGCAGAGAGGCCCAATCTCAGCGCTTTTCTAGAGCACCTCCGCCACAGAGGGCGGGGGGGGGAAGGGATCGGGCGGATGGTGGTCACTCATCGCCCATCACGTGATGTTGGTGGTGATCCCCTGATGGTGGTGATCCCCAGGGTGATGCCCATCACCATGGGAGGGGATCACCCTGGTGATGGGGGGTGACCTGAATGTGGGTTGAACAACACCCTAAAAGGGGCCCTCTGGGGGCCTTTTTGGCCCCCTGCTGGTTCAAGAAGGAGCTCTAGAGGGCCCCCATCAGGGCCCTCCCCGTTACCCCCCATTCGGGGGAGGGGAGGGGGGGAGAGGGGAGGGGAGGGAATGAGAGGGAGGGGAGTGCAAACCCAAGTGTGCATCGCCTGCTTATCCGCAACCGTTTATGTTCGAGGGGGCCCTTCAGCCGCCTTTGGGCGGTAGCTAGATTTACTTGTGGGCTCCAGAGAGCTCGCAGACCCCGAGATATTCACTAATATCATACACTTGCACATTCATATATTAGGCAAGCTCTCTGGCGCCAGTACTGACGAGTTTCAGACGCGTCGGCATGAACGGAATGGCCTGCCACGCGTCGCTGGAGATACAAGGGATCATATCCACGGACCTAACATCTATATTGCCGATCCGAAACATCGACAGTGTTTTCGACAGTTTCGAGAGTTTCAGGACTATCTCCGGACCCGCAATGGTAGCGGATCCAGGTGGCTCCACACAGCACAGCTGGCACATGACAGACAACAAAGATAATGACAAACACAAAGGTCCGACGTGGGACGGAGACGGTGCACGCTTCCAGCAAGGGACGGGCGAAGTGGTGCGTAGCAGGGCTGTCGTATCGTGCGCCAGCCGTGGCTGGCGCGAGGCTGGCATCGACATTGACGGACGCTCATGGACGAACCCATTCCGGAAGCGGCCAAGCATTCCAATGCGTACCTTTTTTATGACGAGGCGAAATAGCAATGTAGGGATGAAAACCTACGCCCAGCGGGGCCGGATCGTCGCCGACAGTCTGGACCAGAGCTTCAGGAGCATCGAGGGGAGGGACCCGAGCTTCGAGTTAAACGTGCACAAGCATCCAGACTCGAGGAGAAGCCAGAGTCCGTGAAGGAGGCGACCAGCATCCAGGACGACGGTTATGACGACGCGACCAGCTGGGCGGACGAGAGTTGGAGAGGTTGGCGGCACCGCAGCATCTGGTGGAGCAGCTCTCCAGGCGGACAATCGGGCTCGCAGCGGGAGTGGCCTCATACAGCGGCGCCACAGACGCTGAAAGAACATAAGATGGTGACGCTGACTGAGATGGCCACGGAGGCTTTCTGTTCACAGATGGCGAGGTTCGACCAGGACGAGGACGACGTGGACATCGAAGCCATGAAGGTGTTTCCAAAGGAGTTGGGAAGGACTTTCGTCCCGTCGGTCATGGCAGGATGGCTACTCTTTCAAATTGCTGGACTTAGCGCTCAAGAGCGGGCGGGAGTTCTATCATCGGCGAAGTCCTCACTGAACCAGAAGAACGTCGAGGCTGCACTGCGGGACCAGTGGTCAGACGTCGACTTCAAGGAGCACGACGCCCACGACCCGCACAAGCCCGGCAAGGGACGAACTCTGAGTCTGTTCGACGAGGGCGACAACGCGGAGCAGGGCTGCGACGACGAGGACGGAGATGTGGATCCGCAGCGAGGGTTACTTCGGCGATGAGGCGGACGAGGACAACGACGAGCTGGACCTCGAGGACCTACACGAAGGCCGACCACGCCGAGGCCGATGGGGGCGCTGGCCGCGACCGCTGTCGCGCGAGGAAGGACGTCCGCGCGCGGGAGAGGACGTCCGCGCGCGGGAGAGGACGTCGGCGCAGGCACGTGCAGCCGTCAGAGATATCAGTTTCAGTCGTGGACTCCATCAGAAAGGCAAGGCCCGTGGCAAGGGCCGACCAGCAGGTGGTGAGGGGAAAGGTCAATCCTTCATCTGTGGCGGACCGCGCAATCGCGAGCAATGCTCGCGCAACGAATTGAAGAGACGGGACGGGACGCCGAAACGCAAGGTGCAGCAGGTCGGCCCCATGGCGCTCATTTTCGGCGTCGGGGACGACATGCCGGACTACGAGATCGAGATGGGCAGTCAGACGGCGCCGAAGGACGAGGGCGCGATCGAGGTGGCATTCACGTCGTTTTGGGCAGCCTACCATGCGACGCAGGGCGGCGCTGTCGAGCACGCGCTGGCTGGGCTGGAGGACGAGACAGCAGGCTGCATGGCGCCTGAAGATTGCGCAGCCAAGAAGTTCGGATCTACCAGGGCGCTGGAGCAGACCATCGAGAAGCAGGGGGCCGCAGGGTGGGGCGCCAGCGGCGTGCCAATTGATGCGACATATCGGCCGGACTTCGGATTCGCGAATGGAACTGCGGAGAACTGTTCGAGCAGGGCTACGCTACCTCTCCAAGCGAAAGGGCAGCTCGGGACAGTCGCTGGGTACGCTCTGAACGCGAAGAGAAATCGCTACGTGCCGCTGCTGGGATCTGTGGATGTCCTGAGGCGCTCAGGGGCTTGCATCGTTTTTGCCAGTGGAAATCGATTGCGTCGCATAGCTAGGGGCGGGCAAGCTGGTCAAGCTCGAGGGGGTCCCGACGGGCCATTGCGCATCGACGTGGCCCGGGACATTCACGGCCAGAAGATGACGAAGCAGGAGATGCAGGATTATCGGCAGAAGTTCGAGAACCTGCACCAGGCGTTCAGCGGACAGACCGCTGGAGCGGCCCGCCAGACGGCCGATGCCGAATCGGGCTCCGCCCTTCTTTCTGCGGCGATCGGAAATCGTCGAAGACTTCAGCGCGTCGCTGGATATGTCATTCCATGACATCCGCATCCGCGAGAGCAGGGGGGGAGGGCCGGGAAGAGTGGAGCGCCAGATGTCCCAAGGGGCGCAGTGCCAGCTAGAGGGTCCCGGATGAGTGTCAAGAGGCCTTCTGGAGTCTGAACATGAACCAAGTCCGACACGATCGACAGCTCGACCGAGGACCTCGAGTACTGCGACGCGATTCCAGAGGACATCGACAGCGCGATCGACTTCGACTCGACCGAGGGGCATCGCGACGAGTCTGATTGGGTCGAACTAGGAGGACGGAAAAAGGAGTCTGCTGGCGCGTCGAGGGCTTCGAAACCATTGCTACGACGAGCGAGCCGAAATCCACCGAGGAGTTGTCGGAAAAGTCGAAGGTCCCCACGCGCGCAGCCCCCGTGCGTTTCCCACACCCTGTACAGCGCTTCGTGGCCCCATAGGGGGCTTCACCGAAGGTCTCAGTGACGCAGCCCGCATGCGTCTCCAACACCCATCACAGCGCTCCGTGATCCCATAGGGAGCTCCACCAGAGGTTCCACTGGCGAAGCCCGCATGCGTCTCCAAACCAGCACAGCGTTTCGTGGCCCCGCAGGGAGCTTCACCGACGGCTCCAGCGTCGCAGTCCGCATGCGCCCCCCGCCCTCAGCACAGCGCTTGGTGGCCCCATAAGGAGCTTCACCGCAGGTCCCACTGGTGCAGCCTGCATGTGTCTCCCACACCCTGTGCAGCACTTCGTGGCCCCGTAGGGAGCTTCACCGAAGGTCTCAGTGACCCGGCCCACATGCGTCTCCCACGCCCAGCACGGTGTTTCGTGGCCCCATAGGGACTTCCACCGAAGGCTCCAGTGTCGCAGTCCGCGCGCGTCTCCCCCACCCAGAACGGCGTTTCGTTTGCCCCATATGAGAATTCCACCGGAGACCCAGGGGCGCAGCCCGCATGCGTCTCCCCCCCCTGGGAGCACGGCTTCGTGGCCCCATAGGAGCTTCACCGATGACTCCAGGGGCGCAGCCCGTATGCGCATCTCCACCAGCCAGTGCAGCATGTCTTCCTTCTCAGAGCAGCGCTTCGTGGCCCCACAGGGAGCTTCACCGACGTTTCCAATGTCGCAGTCCGCACGCGCCCCCCCCCTTTCACCCAGTCGCCCCACAGGGAACGGCAGCCCGCATGCGTCCCCCCCCCACCGAGCGCAGCGTTCCGTAGCCCGAAAAGGGAGCTCCACCGAAGGTCCCAGCGTCGCAGACCGCATGCGCCCCCCCTCCCAGTACAGCGCCTCGTGGCCCCATCGGGAGCTCCACCGAAGGCCCCAGTGGCCCAGCCAGTATGGCGCCTCCCCCACCCAGTAATTCGTTTCGTGGCCCCATACGGAGCTTCACCGAAGGTCTCAGTGGCGAAGCTCGCATGCGTTTTCCCAATCCATTACAGCGCTTCGTTGCTCCATAGGGAACCCCACCGAAGGTTCCAGTGGCGCAACCCGCACGCGTGCCCCCCACCCACAACAGCGCTTCGTGGCCCCACAGGAAGCTCAATCGACGGTTCCAGGGGCGATGCCAGCATGCGCCCCCCCCCCCCCCCACCACCCAATAGAGCGCCACGTGGCTCCATTAGGAGCTCCACCGAAGGTCCCAGTGTTGCAGCCCACATGCGCTTCCACCACCCAGTACAGCGCTTCGTGGTCCAATGGGGAGCTCCACCACAGGTTCCAATGGCGCAGCCCGCAGGCGTCTCCCCCGCCGAGTGCAGCGATACGTGGCCCCATTGGGAACCCCACCGAAGGTTCCAGTATCGCAGCCAACGTGCCTCTCCCCCGCCCCGTGCCTCTCCTCTCGTGGCCCGATAAATGGGGCATCACCGAAGACGATACATACACCTGCGGTATTCACAACAGCATATGGTTGGGCTTTTCGCCTGGCTAATTCTTTCTTGTTTTGCAACCCGGAAGAAATCAAACTTTGTTCGGGCGTTCCACCCAGCGCCCTGGCGACCCAGGATGTTCCGCAGAGGGTCTTGGAGTAGTAGAAGACCTTTTTGGACCGCCCATGGTCCCCTCTTACAATCCGGCATCAGCTTCCAGCGGCCCGGATAGGGCCCCCCGAAAAACACTGGTTTGTGCGATTTTCAGATACTCTCACAATGATCAGTTTTGATGCATCACCGGGGACCCCCGAGAGGCTATTGTGGTTTCTGAGCGGGCTCATACGCACAGCCGCCACGAGAACCGAACATCGATGAAGGAATGGATGTAAGCAAGCCCACATCGGAGGGCCCCCAAACAAATCTTCAAACGGTCCTCCTGGGAGGCGCGCAAGATGCCCCCTGGGATGATCTCCATCGTACCAATTTCGCATTCACGGGCTGTACGCTTTGTTGTTGTTGTTGTTGGTGTTGTTGTTGTTGTTGTTGTTGTCGTTGTCGTTGTCGTTGTCGTTGTCGTTGTCGTTGTCGTTGTCGTTGTCGTTGTCGTTGTTTCTCTATATTTCCCGTTTTCTCTCTCTCTCTCTCTTTCTCTCTCTTTCCGTGCGGCCGTCCGTCTGTATGTTGGCACTCCTGGGGTGGGTTCCCTCGGGCGCCGATGATGGCGGGGTTTTCCCGCCACTTTGAAATATTCATGCGAGCGTGGCACTTGATTCACTTGGCCTAGCTGATGCATCCAGTGCCATATGGGCACTCTTGCGCGTCGCTTTGGGATGGGCTCCCTCACGCGGTGCCTTTCACAGCTGCTTTTCTGTGCAGGCTTGCATGCTATGTCCTCAATGATGCTCCGGGCTGTCACTCGCCATTTTGCTTGTTGCGCTTCTGGGATTGGATCCGTTAGCCGCTGAGCTGTGCAAGTGACCCTTTGATGCTCCATCACAAACCATGGACACACGCAAACAACCAGAAATCATAGTTGTGTGTATGTAGGGCCCTCGCGCACGTTCGACATACACTTAACCCGCATTGTAAGGACGAGCAGCTTCCCAATGCTACCCTTGCATCATTCCATTCGGCCCATCCTTGGCCGCTTTCGCATTCTGCGCCCCGCCCGCAAAGGTCGAAGTAGCCTTCCAGGGCCCTTGCATCCTTACATCGTATCATTATCATACGGTTTGACTGTACGTCCCCAAGAGCCTGACACAACCGAACCTCATACCAATATGCCCCAAGGGAAGCGCCCAGAGGCAGCCTGCTGGGGATTTCCGCGACGTTTGGCACGTTGCTGCTCCAGAGAACCTCCAAACACATACGGCCAAGATGTTGAACCTGAGGACCGCTCTGGGGTCGAGAGGGGTTTGCTGCTCCTAGGGTCGTCTCGTGATTGTTCCTCTCGCCCTCCTCGTGCACCAAGGCGCCTTTTTGGCCACAGATGGGTTTCGTTCCTTCTTTATCGCTCCTCCTGGCAGGGCCGTGAGTGTACATACCCTCGCGGCGCGTTTTGGACGGCGCTCGCCTGGCCTCGCCATTGCCGCGGCAGAGGAACCCACGGGAGCACCGGCCCACTGCCGCAGAAAGGCCCAATCTCAGCGCTTTTCTGGAGCACCTCCGCCACAGAGGGCGGGGCGGGGGAGGGGATCGGGCGGATGGTGATCATTCATCGCCCATCACGTGATGTTGGTGGTGATCCCCTGATAGTGGTGATCCCCAGGGTGATCCCCATCACCATGGGAGGGGATCACCCTGGCGATGGGGGGTGACCTGAATGAAGGGTGAAAAGCACCCTAGAAGGGGCCCTCTGGGGGCCTTTTTGGCCCCCTGCTGCTTCAAGAAGGAGCTCTAGAGTGCCCCCATCAGGGCCCTTTCCTTTACCCCCCCATTCAGGGGAGGGGAGGGGGGTGAGGGGAGGGGAGTGCAAACCCAAGTGTGCATCGCCTGCCTGTCCGCAACCGTTTATGCTCGAGGGGCCCCTTGAGCCGCCTTTGGGCGGTAGCTAGATTTACTTGTGGATTCCAGGGAGCTCGCAGACCCCGATGTATTCACAAATCTCAGAGATCTGTGCATTCATCTATTGGGCAAGCGCTCTGGTGCCAGTACTGACGAGCTTCAGACGAGTGGGCAGGAACGAAGCGGCCTGCCACGCGCTGCTGGAGATAGACGAAGTCATAGTCACGGACATAATATCGATATTGCCAGTCAGAAACACCGAGAGTGTCTTCGACAGTTTCGAGAGTTTCAGGACGAGCGGAGCCATTTGGCTCCACACAGCACAGCTGGCACCATGACGGACAACAGAGAGAATGACACACACAAAGTTCCGTCGTGGGACGGAGACGGTGCACGCTTCCGGGAGTACAGAAAGACGGGCGAAATGGTGCGTAGCATGTCTCCTGTATCGTGACAAGGCCGTGGCTGGTGCGAGGCTGGCATCGACATTGACGGGAGAAGCCTGGAGGGCGCTCGATGAGTGTCTGACGAAGGCCAAGAGTTGTTGGAGAAGAAAGGCGGTCACAAGACACTGGTTCAGTTCCTAGACGAGACGCTCATGGACGAACCCATTCCGCAACCAGCCAAGTATTTCAATGCGTACCTCTTTACGACGAGGCGAAAGAGCAATGGAGGGATGAAAACCTACGCCCAGCGGGGCCGGATCGTCGCCGACAAGCTGGACCAGAGCTCCAAGACCCGAGTTTCGAGTTGAGGTAGCAGAAACGATCCATACCCGAGGAGAAGCCAGAGTCCGCGAAGGAGGAGACCAGCATCCAGGGCGACGATGACGTCGACGCGAACAGCTGGACGGACGAGAGCTGGAGAGGCCGGTGGCACGGCATCAGCTGATAAAGCAGCTCTCCAGGTGGACACTCGGGCTCGCAGTGGGAGTGGCGCCAATCAGAAGAAGGTAGCGTGAAGGAGCAGACTACGAAGGCTGTGCGTTCACCGATGGCGACGTTCGACCTGGGCGAGGACGACGTGGACAACAAAACCCTGAAGGAGGTGCGACAGAGTTGAGCGAGACCTCATCTCGTCGGTCATGGCTGAATGGCTACTCCTGCAACGGGCTTGGCTGAACGCTCAGAAGTCGTTGGGGGTGCTATCATCGGCTAAGA